GAAACGTCGACATCTTCCTTTCCCGAGTAGCAGTAACATCCCCTGCTGTTGGTATTGATACGTAATACTTTATTGCACGTATACAATACCTTTGAGAAGTAACTTCATTTACTATTGTGGGTGGAATGACTGATTCACTTACTAAATAAATGCGTTTAAAGGCCGCATTGAATGGGTTTTCATTTGAAGTAAGCCACCAGTGATTAAGTCAAATTCGTAAGCTACTCTCAAAGGCTATTGACACGAAACGTCAATCCTAGACCTAGACACAACTGGTGGCCTGGTACAGAAAACCCATTTTGTTTGGGAAAATTATAGATTTTTTAAAGATAACCAAATCATTTGTATTCAACATCAATGCCAAGCTGAGTAACTTATCCGTTATATGGACACCCAGTGTCCCTCGTTGGCAAAGAGTTAAAGCACTGCCGTCGATGTTAACACCAGCAGCAGGTCCATCACTGGTTGTAGAGTCCCACAACTGCGCAAAACAGGGCCCACAAAACACCTGGGCGAGCGGGGGGTGGGGGTCACGGTCTCGATTCCAGGTCAGGGTACAGGCACCATTGAAGACTCCACGAGCTCATAACCCAGTGCACGCAAACTTGACATTCGACTTGTTTACCCTGTAAAGCAGGGATGGGGAACCTTTTTTCCTCCAAGGGCCATTTGGATATTAATAACATCATTCGCAGGCCATACAAAATTATCAACTTAAAAATTAGCCCGTTATATTTGGTCAACCATTTAATTAACTCACCCCTAATGTGATGGCTGGAACTGCTTCTCTTTGGTGAGGCGTGTGATGTTAGCTGGTATTGATGATGTTGCTGCTACTCACAACTGCTTTTCCAGGTTTGCTCCGAGATTTATTGAATTTCGAGTCCCGCCTGCGGTTGCCTTGGCAGAGCCACACCAAATGATTTCTCGGGCCTTGTACGGCCCGCGGGCCGGACGCTCCCCACCCCTGCTGTAAAGCCTGCTGAGCCTCGTGACTCTCTTTCAGGTTTGCTCAGCGGGGATCGACGATTGCTCTCTATAAATCCCAAATGAGTGATGCACGATCTTGATTTGAAGCTTTCGTGACGACAGGAATCCATACTCTTTGGTTCTTTCGGTAAAGTCACGTAGTTAGAAATGAAATAAATCACGACGTTTTGATCGCAACATAAGCGGTCGTCGTCAGGCAAAAAAAAACACAAGCGGTCGCCTGATGACGACCGCTTGTGTTGCGATCGAAACGTCGTGATTTATTGCATTTCTAACTACGTGACTTTACCGAAAGAACCAAAGAGTATGAGTAATGCACGGTTATTTTTCCAAATAGTGACTGGAAAATTTGGAGGTTCCAGTAGTGGCTGGTCGCACAAAACAACTTTACATGAAACAAAAAATCACAATTTTTACTTCGTTTTGCATGCAACGCACGAACAGTTGAGGTCTTTTGTGCAACTGGCTCAACGTTGACTGGGCTCAGGCCGTGGTGTATTATCCAGACCGTTGTACAGGAGGAGGACTCTTGACCATACTGCAGGGTGATATCAAGCCATGGATGGTGCGCTGTCCATGCCATGGCACTGCATGGGTTCATGCTATCGTAACAGCACGGTATTGTGTGGAGGCCATGCTAGCGTTCCCAGGCAATGGTACCGAATCCAGGCCATGCGACGACTGCATTTGTCTGGCAGTTGTATAGTGCGAGGTTCAGCCCATTATAGAATCAGTCTGAGCACTCGAACAGGGCGTGGGGGGCAAATGTCGAGGCGCGTTGTGCCAAAGCTGGGACAACTTGACCCCTTGTGCTCCCCGGTTGACTGCGCCACTTGGGGGGGCTCTGGCCAGGCCTCCCCATCATCATCACCATCATCACCATCAACATCAACCCCCATCACCTGTCTTGAGCAGCTTGCGCAGGTTGGCGAGGCGGACGCCCCCCACGGCGTCGTGCAGTGCCCGGGCCTCCTCCTCCCCGCGCGGCCCCACGCGGCCCAGCTCCACCGGGCACGGGAAGGGAACTCGGGCACCTCTCCAGGGACATTGCGGCGAGGGGGGTGGCTGCTCTCGTCCCCGGCTGCCGCCCCATGGGGGTGGCAACCAACCAAAAGGGCAGCGTTAGCCTCGCCAAGCAGTAACATTGGGTGATGAGTACTGCCATCATACTCTTATGTTTTTTCGGTAAAGTCACGTAGGTAAAAATAAATGGAAAATAAAAAAAATATTATTTGTTTTTACCTAAGTAAATAATAAAATTATTCTTTTTTACCTACGTGACTTTACCGAAAAAACCTAAGAGTATGAATCCTTGCAGTCACGAAAGCTTCAAATCTAGAATGACTGCCATCATGACTCGAACTGCCAGTGCGGGCCTAAGATGCCTACAGCATGGCCTTGTAACTCACCCCCAACGTGCCCTATAACATCACACCGACCCCACCCTGTCCTAACTCTGACATCTCCGTCCCACTCTGAACTCACCCTGAACTTTGCCGGTCTCCAGGGCAGGATTAAGGTTATTGTAGGACCTAGGCACATCTGGTGCTTGTCGGACTTAGGTGATAACTTTATACAGCTCGTACTGCTGCTGATGCTGCTGCTTCCCATGTAACTATCCTGCTGCAGATGTCACTCGCGAAAGCTGATGAAGAAACAACTGTCTACGATCGACCGTAGGACAATAACACCGCCTTGTCTGTCACTGATCTCTATTGAGCACGAGATTGTGAGAAAAATACCATTTGAAGATGTTCTTTGCACATTTTTTTTTTCAATGAAAACAATCTCGAAAAGTTCATCTCAGGTGTGAATGAACTTGGATGATACGACCCGTGCCTGCCTCGCTTTGAGCTCACCCCAGCAGTAATTATATATACACTGTGCCTATCCTTGCTACATACATACATTTATCCAATAACTGGTCAACAAAAAAAAACATTTTTTTCTGGCCTGGACTTTTGCAGCTGTTTTAGACTAATTTCAGGGTGCTGATTCCAAATCTGATCTCAGATTTGCTCTATCACATCTCATTTTTATGCTATCGGCATACCCCATTTTCATTGATTTTACCCGAAATTAACTCTGTCACTTATGATTGCAAGTTGTTGCGAGTCAGTGACTGCTTTAGTGTTAAAATATGGTGCTGTATTTTTAAGATAGTGTTTATAATATCATTTTATGTAGATATCCACATTTATTTAATACTTTTCTTCTGCAGTGTTTATTGAAAATGCATTATTTGATATCTCAAAAACCTGATGTGATAGACAAAAACTGATGCCAGATTTGGAATCAGCACCCCAAAATTACCTTCTAACCGTTGGAATACCTTATGCCAGAAAAAGTGTGTTGTTGACCAGTGTAATGCAACAAAAAAACACGGTCACATTTTTTTTGCAGGCCCTAGGCCCTTAGGCGCAGCGTCCACGCGGCCTACAGGAGGACGCGGTCCTGCCGGCCTCGATACGAGCTCGTCCCAGCAGTAATGATCAGTCTGACACTCGAGAACAAATTCACATTGCCGGTAGTTAAACCCGGTGACTTGGATCTAAGCCAAGTTACTGACCGTAATGAGCTAAATCGTTGTAGTTCACGCTTATGAGTTGGTCCTGGTGACCACAATGTTAACGCATATTTATAGCCACCCGTTGCAAATCCACTTGTGAATGAGAGGCCCTTCTTATCACGCCATGCGGGTCGTAGGGTTCCATTCGACCACACTTCACCACGACGGCCAGTGCTGCTGGTTGCTTAAGGCGGGAAGCACAGAAGTACGGTACAACGATGGACATCGATTAACTTTCCCTAAACGGACCCAAATCAAATTCCATCCCGCTTCGCTTCCGAGACCCGGTTACCTACAATAACAGCGTTAACATCGAAACATTGTTTACCTGTAGATCTCAAGTCGCTGGTTAATTGCGCTCGCAGTGTTTGCTACAACACCGGAGCTTGGCCGATGTTTGCGAGTTAACCGAATTTCGTCGGGATAACGGTCGCACGCGTGCCACGCCGAATTGGCTTGGCACCTCGTCAGGTGACCCCCCCCCCCCCCATCAAAAGCCTTATAAGGGCAAGCGGGCCTTATAAGGGCAAGCGGAACTTCCGGTCTTAGAGGGCCACGCGTGGAGGCACGTGGGGCTCAATCACTGCCCCTCTCTGAGTGATTGAGGACCACGTGTCTCTCTCTCCCCTCCACCTGGGCCCATGGCACAGGGCACCCCGCTGGCCCGCCACCCACACCGATACACCCCCCCCCCCTGCCCAGGGGTGAGTGAGGATGCTTCCCTGAGTGATACCACTGCCCAGGCGACACGTCATGTCACCCCCACTAAGCACACACACACACACATTGTCACCCCCACTATGCACGTGACACACACACACTTTATCACCCCACTGACTCACTGAGCACATGGCACACACAGTCACCCTACTAACCACGTGGCACACACACAGCTTGTCACCCCATTATGCACTTGACACACACACCTCGTCACCCTACTAACCACGTGACACACACACAGCTTGTCACCCACTAAGAACATGGCACGTGCACACACACATTATGTCACCACACCCCACTATGCACGTGACACAACCAGTCATCCCACCATGGAGGTGATTTTCCTTACCATCCCACTGCAGAGCACCCAACTCACTCTAAAATGTATACTGGGCAATGTTTTGGGCAAGCGTCCTTCTTGAAATGGAGCACTATTATGAAAACGGGCAGTGGTATTGATTAATGTGTTGAGTTCTTTGTTCTTTGTGCTTGTGTACCACTGCCAATGCAGTATAACATTTTCTTTAGTTTAACATTAAGGTTGGTTTAATAAGCAACTGCTGTATGAGGAAAAGTGTAATTTTCCAACTATACGAGATTAATTTTAAATCCTTTTCATTGACGTAAAATTTCCACCGCATTATCTAATATCACCAGTGTTCTGCAAATGGCAACAGTGACAGCTCACGAATGTGTATTTGCGTGTCGTGCGCATCACCAATTTCATAGTTCAGCTTGTTTTATTGAATGCATAGCAGTAACCTTTTTGTGTGTAACAGTACGCCATAAAGGTAAAACACATGTTATGCACAAATGTTGTAGAACCTAGAAAACGAAATAAAAAACAGGCAATTCTCATCAAAGTACAGCAATGAATACTGGTGTCAAAAGGGTGCGCCGACGACTGGAAAAGTTCTGCAAGAAAACAACACAGCCACCGCATCGTCGATGACAACCTCCTGGTACAACGCAGACTAGGACAATGGGAGACAGGAGGTACAGGATAACCTTTGAAAAAGTGGAAAAAAAATCTGCATTTTTTTTCAAAAACTGTAAAACACCATGCACGCTCCGACAGTGTGCATTGGGCAGTTTCACCGATAGTGTTTACTCTTAAGTGAACGCCTACTCTACACGTTACAATAGGTATAAATAGCCACTGGACTGATCAAAGGTTTCTGCCTTTGAATGGAACAAATGTTAATGACAGCAGTTACTGCAAGTGAATGATGGGACCTGTCGTGGGCAGTGGTCACAGGTGTGGGTCTGTGTTGTAATGTGTTGTGGTTATGTACAAATGGTGTTTTGTGTCGATGGACTTCAAGGCAACAGGATCGGAGAAATATGACCACTGTAATAAGATGGTCGTACAGAGGTAATCGTCGACTCGTTAAAACTGCTGGAGAAATGTGGGCGTCGGTCGTGAAACCCGCGTTGGGGTTCGCGTCCGCCTGGATACTTCGCTCGCCCAGACCCACAATTACTGCATACCAACAATATAAACAATTTAAAACGTCGAATTCATTATTTTCAAATTAAACTCTCCCTTCGACAAAAAAAATACTTATTCATTGGTGGACGTTAAACTACGGGTCGTGTTTATTTGTAGGCCGGGACGCCGAGGTCCTTGTGGCACCTAAAGGGACGATGCTGGTTTTGTGCGTCACCAGACTTTTACCTTCTTCGCGCTGCATACTCCACTCACGTTACTTCACCTAAATCCGTGCAATGCACGTGCTGTACCTTAGAGAATGGTGTGTCTCTGCTATCATAACAAAACCGTTATAAGTGATGAATCTGCCTGCAGTGGCCCCTAGGGGATGTGAATGGGGGTGATAGATCTATGCTGGTGTTCGCCACCATCGTACATCCGTCCATGCCGCGTTTCCTTAAGAGGTTTCGTTTCCCATCTCAATCGGTGACTACTCATGTGCGGCCATCGATCAAGTGTCAGTGTTCTCATCTGAACCCAATCAAGGTGGCTCCGCAGTTGTTTTCGGTCACGGTCCGTTCTCCACGCTCGGCCAAGAGAGATCTCTCAGTTTCTCTGGGGAGGGTTCCCGCGTGCCCTCGAGCTCCTCAGATGGGCTCGGCCTGCAGCTTGCCGTGCAGGTAGTCGCCCACAAATTCGGAGATGACGTGGCCTGTCAGCTCCTCGGCATCCTTCACGTACTTGACACGCGCCGGGATGTCCAGGATGGCTAGGAGTGGCGCACAATCCGGCAGCGCTGTGAAGTCACGGATTGAGTCTGCCATGTCGTCCTGAGCAGCCAGACCAAAAATAGGATGCCAACAGTCAGACGCGTAACCAGATTGATCAGACCAATAGGCGGCCCAACTTTGTGCTGTGCATTGGTGTAACATACAATGTATGGGTTGTCTTATTCAACTCTCAGTCTCGTTAAAAATATATATAAGTTGTATAACAAAGCTAATTCGTGCCAATATTAACTTTAACATTTACACAAAAGTATAATAAAATATACAAATAACTATGCAAAATATACTGTAACACAGACTTAAAAAATGTGTAACGTTGAAGCCAAATCTATCATGCGGACTTACAATACTTCCCCATTGTACAGACTTGGCCAAAGCAAAGGTTAAAACGACTTTTTGCCGGTTGATGGCTGAAATTGAAATGCTAATAATGTGCGTGGTTGTTCAAGGAAAAACAAATGTATTCAGCGATCGCGTCGCGTTAGGAGTGAAGCGTGAAGCGAAAGGCACGGACGGGCAGAATACACTCCTCGTGTGCATCGACAGAGAAGGCGCATTCTATCCCACGTGTCTGCACGCACATCTGATGTGAGGAGATAGGTTTCGGGGACACCCGGAGAGTTGTGTAAACCGTGTCACTCGAAACCACTGCCTGCTTGGAATCGGCGCACTCCCCCATGAGAACGTTTCAGAAATATGCAACGTGAAACCAAAAACCAGCCGACATTCTGCACACGGGCAGCCTCCCAGAGATTGAGCCATGAATTCCTCTCTAATGAATCAGGCTTCTATGGTGAAGAATGTTGCACTAAATGATACAATAGTAACCGCAGCTCAAACAATGATGCACTCAAATATTTCCTTTGTCTCCTGGTCGTGAATTTTACAATCGAGTTTTAAAATTAGCCGTCACAAACGTTCTTCAAATTACTTTTTTAAAAACCGCATTCCACTGGGCAGCGAGGTGCTGGCGAGTTTATTTGCACGGGGAGAAGACATTTTTTTAAATGAATGTCTTCACACGAACACAAGCCAAAGGGGTCACACGCTGGGATACTAATCTCGCACGGTCCATTCTCGTGTTGCTCGCACCTGACACATCCAGGCTATAGATCACTCGCATATAGAGTGAGTGATGCTTTTCTGCCAGTGGCATCGACTGTACAGTCTCGTGCATCCAAGGGAAGCCGAGCCATGAATCAAGCACGGCGCTGTCCACTCCTCCGATCGCTGGCTAGAGTCGCAGCAATATCATTTTTCACGATATGATAGGCGACATCAAATTTCACAATATGACAAATATCACGATATCAGTTTCCCCTCAATGTATTTCAAACTTGTACTGTATTCTGTTTGTGCCTTCTGTACTTCTGTTATGAACAAAAGTTACGTAACTCTTATGCAATTGCAGTTCGCTCAACATAAGCCTGCCACATAAGTCATATTATTAATGTAACTTTACAATCTATAACATTTATAATGTACATGCTGTCAATTATACAAGACACAAATAATTAAATGAACTACAAAAATGATTACGTCATACAATCACCATTCCGTCAATGACTGAAAAAAACACTTTAAAAGTAGTCATTTAAATAATAATATCATTATACACCTGAAACTATTCTGCTTTTGTTATTGAATAATTGTCAGGAAAAAATATTTAAGCAAAACTAAATGGTAATCAATATGAAATAATCTGAAAAGACGATACGATTATCGTGTACCTTGTATCGTACGATGTATCACACTATCGCCATATTGCCAGTAACCCTACTGCTGGTACGGTGCCGTGTAGGAGGTGTAGGTGGGTTTTAGAGGGTTCGGGGTGGGTGTAGGTGGGTATAGGTGAGTGTGGGTGGGTAGAGGTGAGTGTGGGTGGGTAGAGGTGGGTGTGGGTGTGTATAGGTGGGTATAGGTGGGTGTGGGTGGGTAGAGGTGAGTGTGGGTGGCTGGAGGTGGGTGGGTATAGGTGGGTGTGGGTGGGTAGAGGTGGGTGTGGGTGGGTAGAGGTGAGTGTGGGTGGCTGGAGGTGGGTGGGTGGTTAGTGGTGGGTGTGGGTGGCTGGAGGTGGGTGGGTATAGGTGGGTGTGGGTGGGTAGAGGTGGGTGTGGGTGGGTAGAGGTGGGTGTGGGTGGGTAGAGGTGGGTGTGGGTGGGTAGAGGTGAGTGTGGGTGGGTATAGGTGAGTGTGGGTGGTTAGAGGTGAGTGTGGGTGGGTATAGGTGAGTGTGGGTGGGTATAGGTGGGTGTAGGTGGGTGTGGGTGGGTAGAGGTGAGTGTGGGTGGCTGGAGGTGGGTGTGGGTGGGTAGAAGTGAGTGTGGGTGGGTAGAGGTGGGTGTGGGTGGGTAGAAGTGAGTGTGGGTGGGTAGAGGTGGGTGTGGGTGGGTAGAAGTGAGTGTGGGTGGGTAGAGGTGGGTGTGGGTGGGTAGAGGTGAGTGTGTGTGGGTAGAGGTGGGTGTGGGTGGGTATAGGTGGGTGTGGGTGGGTAGAGGCGAGTGTGGGTGGGTAGAGGTGGGTGTGGGTGGGTGTAGGTGAGTGTGGGTGGGTAGAGGTGGGTGTGGGTGGGTAGAGGTGAGTGTGGGTGGGTATTGGTGGGTGTGGGTGGGTATAGGCGAGTGTGGGTGGGTAGAGGTGAGTGTGTGTGGTGTAGGTGAGTGTGTGTGGTGTAGGTGAGTGTGGGTGGTGTAGGTGAGTGTGTGTGGTGTAGGTGAGTGTAGGTGGTGTAGGTGAGTGTGTGTGGTGTAGGTGAGTGTGGGTGATTAGTGGTGGGTGTGGGTGATTAGTGGTGAGTGTGTGTGGTGTAGGTGCGTGTGTGTGGTATAGGTGAGTGTGTGTGGTGTAGGTGAGTGTGTGTGGTGTAGGTGAGTGTAGGTGGTGTAGGTGAGTGTGTGTGGTGTAGGTGAGTGTGGGTGATTAGTGGTGGGTGTGGGTGATTAGTGGTGAGTGTGTGTGGTGTAGGTGCGTGTGTGTGGATGTGGGTGAGTGTGTCTGGTGTAGGTGAGTGTGTGTGGTGTAGGTGAGTGTGTGTGGTATAGGTGAGTGTGTGTGGTGTAGGTGAGTGTGTGTGGTATAGGTGAGTGTGGGTGATTAGTGGTGGGTGTGGGTGGGTAGAGGTGTGTGGTGTAGGTGAGTGTGTGTGGTGTAGGTGAGTGTGGGTGGTTAGTGGTGGTTGTGGGTGGGTGTAGGTGAGTGTGTGTGGGTGTAGGTGAGTGTGTGTGGGTGTAGGTGAGTGTGGGTGGTGTAGGTGAATGTGGGTGGGTAGAGGTGAGTGTGTGTGGTGTAGGTGAGTGTGTGTGGTGTAGGTGAATGTGGGTGGGTAGAGGTGAGTGTGTGTGGTGTAGGTGAGTGTGTGCGGTGTAGGTGAGTGTGGGTGGTTAGTGGTGGTTGTGGGTGGGTGTAGGTGAGTGTGTGTGGGTGTAGGTGAGTGTGTGTGGGTGTAGGTGAGTGTGGGTGGTGTAGGTGAATGTGGGTGGGTAGAGGTGAGTGTGTGTGGTGTAGGTGAGTGTGTGTGGTGTAGGTGAGTGTGGGTGGTGTAGGTGAGTGTGTGTGGTGTAGGTGAGTGTGGGTGGTGTAGGTGAGTGTGTGTGGTGTAGGTGAGTGTGTGTGGTGTAGGTGAATGTGGGTGGGTAGAGGTGAATGTGGATGGTGTAGGTGAGTGTGGGTGGTGTAGGTGAGTGTGGGTGGGTAGAGGTGAATGTGGATGGTGTAGGTGAGTGTGGGTGGTGTAGGTGAGTGTGTGTGGTGTAGGTGAGTGTGTGTGGTGTAGGTGAGTGTGGGTGATGCTGGGAGGCCTCACCTCTCCGGCGTAGAAGAAGTGTAGCGGCTGCTCCTCCCCCCGCTGCTTGTACTCAGCGATCACCTGCTCCGCTATCGGCTGCAGCATCTGTCTCACGGGCTCCAGCTCTTCCTCCTCGTTAGAGTCTGTACACGCCCCACATGGCCACATTTGCTTTGTTTAATGAGCTTGCAAATTATTAATTAGATTAAAATCGCGTATTGCGCTCCTGCTGCATGTGCTGAGTTGCACACGTAAGAATCGTTACCAATATATACGTAAATGTACATTGAAGCAAATGGAATAATTTATATAACCGAAACAAAACAAGGCAGTACTTTGGAAACAGTGTGCATATGAGACGTTACAAATTGCACATAAACGAGACATTACAAACAAAATAATCAATTTGTGAAAGGAATTGTGTCTAATACATCGAATCGTTGTTGGGGCAAATCATTAAGCATTCATTGTTAATGTTTAGGACTGGAGGATAATAAAGATTGGATTTCACAACAACCAGAAGCACACAAATGTACGCACTCATTGAAAACACACAATGATAGTTATGCATTATAATTACAATTCAAACAACTCGATGTAAGGATTAAAATGTAATTGTACTGCAGCGAAAACCTTTTTCTCAGACTCCAGACAAATTGACTTAATGATTTTCAGAAGGAATACCAAAGTGATTCGCGTCACTATTTCATTAGTTCCGACTGCATTTCAGCAACTCAGCACAAACAGGCAAAACATTACAGAAATCCTTAGCCAGAGAGGGCTAGGTAAAAAGAGACCAGCCTAGGTTTGTTGTTACCAGGATTATATAAATTGAGGACACAGGCTGCATAGGTGGGACACGGGTGGGACAGGACAAAGGGTAGTAAACCAAAGTCACCAATGCTAAAGATTCCAATGTGGGGCGCAGCGGGATCGGGGTCTCATGGGCAGATTGGTAGAAGAAGGCATTTGCCGAAGTTGACTGCAGCTCCATCAGCAATGGTGCTTGTGCAACAAATATCACATCAGCCACTACCGTCCTTGCGAAAACACCACTCCGTGAGAAGACCAAATACATTTGCAAAAGTGAATTGCCATTACCCTCCATGTCAGTTTTTATGCAAAACTCTGCAGTGGCCCACAGCTTTCCCACTCGATACCGGCTGTCTGATTTTCAGGCACCAACACCATCATAATCATCATCAGCCATGATTTGCAGAAGGCCTCCCAAGCCGTCACCACCTCTCACAATCCTGCAATGCAATAATCCACCAAGCACCTGCACGCAGAGGTCGCAAACGGGTTTTTATTCCTTACCCGTACCCGTACCCGGCCGCACCAGGGTCGCAAACGGGTACCCGTACCCGTACCCGGCCGTACCCGTACCCTACCCGTACCCAGCGGGGTACGGGTAGGGTACGGGTATCGGGTACCTGACTGCGACCTCTGGGATGAAGCCATGTTGCAGGCGCGGGTGGGTTGATTCTAGGAACTTGAATTGTGAGAAGAGACAAGACGTTGGGAAATGAGTAACAAACAGTTACTCACCAGTGACTCACGGTCTACCCATACCCGGCCGCACCAGGGTCGTAAACGGGTACCCGTACCCGGCCGGGTACGGGTAGCCGGGTATCGGGTAGGGTACGGGTATCGGGTACCTGGTTGCGACCTCTGCCTGCACGCGAGCCGATTTGACATGAACACGTTTGCTAAATGCAACAGCCGGCACTGACAACGCGCAATAGGAGACACAAGCTCCTGGCACGGCACACCAAGGGGCCCTCACCGACAAAGAGCACGAGCGCTGGCTCCTGGTTGAGGATCTCGGCGTTGGCAGCGCTCAGCATGCTCAGGGCACGCGGGAACCACGGGAAGAGCCGGCCCTCGCGGTCGTCCATGATGGAAACACGCGCCGCAGGAGTGATCACGCTGCGGTCCACGTCCAGCATGACGAGCGCTGGGATGCCTGGAGACATGCGGGGTCAGGGTTGAGGGGTAAATCAGCACAGCTGGAGAACTTGGGTTTGAAGCCAGCTTTTGGCGGCTCATGATTAAAATTAGTTCTTAAGTTTTGTGAGTTGATAATCTCAGCCCCAGTCACCAGTGACTGACAAAGAAACCCATGGACTCGCATAGATAGCCACTGTTTTATAGAGAGACTCGTAGACTTAAATGGAGATTCATAGATTCACACAGAGCTCTTTAGACACGTATAGATTGAGTTCTGATGAAGCTGGATTCTTAAATGTAGTAAGTTGACAGTCTCAGCCCGCTCACCACTGAGTGCCCACTAACATTGGTTTTTCACTCAGATTGGCTAAATTCCAGCTTTGAGAATTGAACATCATTTTCCTTGACACATTTTTCTGAGCACGGTGTGAGATCTCAAAAACAGTGGCGTGATATTTGCTTCCACAGGCCACTCTCTAACATGGGGTGATGCACTGCACTCCAAAAATTGCAAATGGACACTCAATCACGAACTAACGCCGTCAGCACAAATAGAATAAAATTGGCAAAAAGACAAAAATGTATTTGAAAAAACCACCCCCAATAGCCTAAAAACCTCTGTCTCTTCACTTCGAATGCATTCCCCACTGACGCATTAATAACTTTTATAAAAGCAGGTTCCGGAAGACCCGTGATGTCAGTGCAAATACACGAAAACACTCCCGACTCTGCTACAGCGCTCCCGTTTGGCACGATTCTTGCCGGACAAAAACCACACTCTCCACTGTGTGTGATGGAAGGGTGGGGAGAGTGAGGATGGAAGGTGAGTTGGAGAGCAGAATGAGGAGAGAGTGAGGAGCGAGGGTAGGTAGAGTGTTAATGCAGTGATGGGAGAGGGAAGGAGGGAGTGGAGAGTAAGGGGAGAGTCAGAGTGAGAGGGAGGGAGGGAGCAGGACGGGTGTATGGGAGGAGAGGGGCTGCTCGTTACCCTGGATGCCGTAGAGCTTGCTGAGGTTAAGCCGCCGTGCCGTGTCGGCGTACGGCACCGACAGCCAGGGCATCTCGCCAAAGTACTGCGCAAAGGACTCGTCTGACCTGGGGTAAATCACAGACATGCGTCGCGCCGGTCCCCTGAGCCTCACACGATTATAATATACAGTAATGCAATGTGGATTTACAAGGCATCTAAATGCAACCGTTTCTCAGGATGCTGTACAGACGAGCTGAATTGTGCAGGGCGGCCAGCGCGTTCTAGCTACCAGGGCAGTCTGCACACATGGTTACTATCGAACGGGTGTTGTATTGCAAACACAGCTATCTTGTGGTGGATTCGCCGCGTTTGAATAGTGGGATTGGCATGATTTTCTAACTGAGCGATAATTGACAGCGTCAAGACAACGCATGCTGTGACAACCACCATCACCACTCTCCTCGCGACTCGTTTGTGTATGGGGCAGCATCCATATGCCTGTGCGGTGCCTGTGCGGTGTCTGTGCGGTGTCTGTACGTCTAAGCTGGCGTCGCGATGCATAACGCGAGGGTCCCGGAGAGCGTGGCACACCGAGAGCGCTGAGCGAGCTCACCTGTCTGAACTTACAAATATGATCTCAAACTTCTTCCCGGACTCGCGGACCCTCCTGTACACCTCCAGCAGCATGGGCGTGAAGGACTTACACGGAGGGCACTAGAAACACGGACAAAGACAAAGTTATCCCATATAGCCATGCAGACTGTTAGAGCAACTGCTGTTGTGAGCACTTAAGATACTGAGCACAAGGGGGTGTGTTGACACCAAAATCATACCTGGCCACCTCTGTGTCCCCATTGCTATTTAACAACCAATTCAGGTACTCGTATGTGGCCGATTTAACCCAGGGGAGACCCAAGAAAAGTTCTGATACCACTTGCCACTGCTGTTAGCCGTGGCTGAATGAAGACAGCCATAAATAGAATTCAGGTCGCCAGGTTAGTCGTGAACTGTGGGCACCACAGTGCCACCACTACCCATAGGGAGCGTGCACTCAAACACACGCGTGACCCCAAGGGAAACCCAGAGCACAGGGGCAGACACGTCACTCTGCAACGATGCCTCATCCACTCACTGATAATTAACGTGCTCTCTGGTAGCACCGAGTCTCTTAGGAGGGGGTCACGGTACAGAACCGAGAGAACTATTTTAATGGGTTTTGCAGCTGCACTCGTTATTCTTCACCAATTCACAGAAACGGAAAAAGAAGCGATCGGCCAGTGCTGCCAAGAAGCCCACGTTGAATCATCACGGCACATTGGGGGCACACACACACACACACAATGGACAACACCACCGCCCCACCACAGCAGAGCCTGAAAAACAGGCTTCCCGTCGCGGCAGCGCCTGCAGACGTTTGCGTGTGCAGGGTAGAGCAGCGTGCAGCGTGCAGCGTGCAGCGAGCAGTGTGCAGCGTGCACCTCCACCAGGCGCCACGTTCGGGCGCACATCCCAAGTAATTTTAGCACGCACGCGCGCCCGCATGAGCAAGACAGCTGTGTACCTCTCTGATGGAGTGTAACCTCGGTGAAAAAAGTTCACGAAGAAACCCCCCCCCCCCTCTTCCTTTTTTTTCTAAACCCCCACCCTGGCGGCGTGACAGCTGGGGCTCCCGGCGCACGCCTGCCCTGTCACTTGCAGCAAGTGAGCGCAGTTCCCAATCAATGAAAAGCCAAAGCGGGTTTGAAACGCGACACCCTCGCCCCCCCCCCCCCCCCCTTGGCTGTGTTGCACACCGCAGGCTTGACTGCGGGCACAATCATTATACACTGTACACACACACACAAAACTGCCGCGGTGCAGTATATTCGTCAACGAAGGCAATCGTTGTGAAAATACTGTAAAACCATTGCACTCCGAGATGTGTGGGGAAAAAAACAAAGCAAAGGGCCTTTCCCTCTGACCTTCGACAAGCTGACCAGGTCAACATAACCCCACCGCTTACCCAGTTGGCAGCAAAGTACATCCCAATAAAGTGTCCTTCCAGGCTCGCGTAGTCGACGCTTTCACCTGACGACCTCAGCAAGGGCCCCGCGATCACCTGGCTGAAGGGCTTGGGGGTCCACGGGAACTCGAGGCCTGGAGTAGAAAGCGATCGAAAACCTTGGCTGTCATGTACGGTGCATGGACGCACCACTCGCCCTCCGACCCCCTCACACCTTCCCCCGAACACATTTCGCGAGAGAGCGCGGAACCTGCGGGCGACAAGCTCAACACCGCCGGACTTTCACTCCACCTACTAAGTGTATTTACAGTGCGCAGTTTAAACACACGGGAACATCTCGCCAAATATTTGGCAGTGGCCGGGAACCGAATACTAAGGGGGAGCAAAAGGGGCAATCTGTCAGCAGGGGTAGGAGGAGGGACCTGAGCTACTCGGCAACTTTTCACCATCTGTTAAGTCCATGCTATACGAGAAATTTTAGTGCAATCCTCATCATCAGCAAGCTTCACCGGCAATGCATTTAGCACGAGCAATTATGGTGAGTTGTACAGATATAATGACGGAGTTCTATTTAAAGACCAATATATTCTGTGGCAACTGTTGCCGGTGTAGATCGCTGGTGATGGTTGCTCCACAATTGCGCCGATTTATCACGACGTTTTATCATGGCAATTGGTTGATGCGCCCAAACACAGGATTGCACATTTACAAAAATATTTCAGGCCTTACTTGACTCAACACTGTGAATAGAAAATTGTCTTTAACTCCATCCAAGCAGCATGCATGTGGGGTGGAACTCATGATGAGTGAGAGCGAGAATGAATTTGTAAAGAGGAATAAATAAAATATGAGAAAAGTGTTGGGCATGGACGGGCCAAGCAGTGATGGCAGTGGCGTGCTCACCATTGGGATCCTCAGACACTAGCGCCACACCGTTCTTGGTGATGACTCGGCCTGATTTGGCGTCCAGGAAGACGAGAGAAGGGATGCCCGTGATCTTAAACTTTCGGCACAAGTTGAACTGCAAACAGAGACCGATGACAACACGCAAAAGGAATGCATTTCAGATGTCGCTTTAAGCACGCTATGCAGTACGCTCTGCAAGTTCTCTCACCGCTACATTCGCAGCAAATGTTGGGATCAGTCCAAAACAATTTGATTACACGTATAATAAAAATACATTTTGACTCGCATAATAAATACAACTCCACCGCTCCAGAGTTTCCTGAACAAAAAAAAAATCTTTCATTTATTTTTTTCTCTCCAAACAACTTCCTGAGGAGTCATAAAACACTTCCCCAAACCCAAAGCGGCCGTCTCTGTTGACACAGCTTGCTGTAGGAAGGGGCCTCTCGCAGCACACGCAGCACGAGCGCATCCCTAGCCCGCTAGTCCGGCCTCCTGGCGACACGCGGGGTGCCCGGCAACACGATCCCCCACGCCGTGCGCGCCATCATGCTACAAATTGCATCGCGCCCTTTCATCGTTTACAGCCGCTGGATTTCCTTGGAGTGGGCGGCAGCTCCGATCGCGTTACTCCGCTCCTTTGTGTGCCCGAGCACCGTTGAGCCGCTGTGCCAAGCGCTGCACCTCTCGCCACATCACCCCCCCCCCTCCCTTGACAGAACGAGCTACTCCTTGCCGCCCCCACCCTGGCAAAGAGTCGCAGATAGCGCTCAGAGACGCACGCCTGTGCTTGGCTGTCTGCTCGTCTGAATAACAAATAGCGCGTGCTGTGCCAGCCACCACAGCCGTGACAGCAGTAGACGGCATTTCACGGTCAATGGCAACCGCACATCCGATGGATATACAGAGCGCCACTATTTTCAAAGCACAGTGTTGCTTATTTTCATAACAACAAATTATCTCCATTGTGAATGAGACTGCCTTGTGATAAGCACTTTGTTTGTTTTTTTGTCAAGTTCCAAAACCGCTTTTCTCATGGTGTCTCTGATGTGGACACAACAGCGACAAGCGGGGCTCCGTTCGAAGCCATGACTGCGCTGGGACTGCGCTGCACGCAGCGTTTGTACAATCGCAGGCTGCGGCGGGGCCTGCACGTTGGCGATGGCGCCACCTTCCCGCGCACACATGACGCGCACGTCGCCGTGCACAATGCACGCGCTTCCTGTTATCGCTGCAAGTCCTCGTAGCACGAAAACTTCTGCAGGCCGCTCTTTGTTGTTGCGTGTTTAAACAAGCGCGTTCCAGCAGTGCCAATATTGTGACGTTCCGGCGTTCACCCGTGTCACCTCCGGCCGCCTTGTCACACCTGTCGTGATTATGCTTCATCTGCTGGAAAGTCAACTCGGGCAGGAGTCCAATTTGCTTGGTATTTTGTGCACGCACATGAAGACGCCACACACACCGCACCGTTGGGATGAGGCCCCATGAACGTATATGCGTGCGAGAGTGTGGTTTCCAATGCCAGAACCCGCACAACCCCTCTGCTCTGCTCCCTCTGCATAACCCCATCCAGTGGTGCCGGTGACGATGCACACAGTCTTGCGATGGGTGGGGTAGGGGTACACCGCTCACTCCTCACCACCCCCAGCCAGAGGTGCCCACGACACTTCCTGGAGTTGAATGGTGTCAATAAAACACGCTGGGATTTTAAGAGAGGTCGCGGGGGGTCGCGTCCAACCAAACAATGAATTCAGGGGTCGCAAACGGTCGGCGCTGCCTCTGTAGAACGATGCCTCCCGGGGAGCGCACACAAGTTTACAGTCTCGATCTTTTGGTATTAAGCCCTTTACAGCCGGCCCCAGCGTGGGTGTTGAATTCAGAGACGACTATCGAGTTTCATAAAGAGTGTTCGCCACGCCGGTAAAGCAGCACGGGGCACGGAGCAGGGAGTCGCGTCACAAAACGGGTTCCAGCGGCAAAGCCAGAGGGCCTTGCGTTTATTCAGCGAAACAATATTTTTCTACATCATTAGTCAAATACACAAGAGCGGAGGGGGGAAAAAAAAAAAGGCTGATAAAATCATATTTCGCAAGTGCAGCGTTGAAAAAATTATAAGATTAACATGCCGGGGTGCAGTGGGGGGTTGGCACCGCTCAGTTACGCTTGCGCCAGGCAGGCCTCATGTGGCACAAGATTTCAGGGTTCTTACGAGTTGGTGGAAATTCCTGAGGCTCAACGCCCGATTTAAACACCCCTAGCCAAAATTGGGATGGGGGGGGGGAACTGGAGGCAGGAAGAGCACATTAATCTATACAGCAACACGTACGTATGGGGTTGTTCTTTAGTTTTTCAGGATTCCGGTGTGAGTGATGTTGCTCACTGGAACTCAGTAAAGACGGAACGCGACTCTGACCCACGCCGGCCCTCGGCTGCCACCCCGACTGTCGCTAACGCAGGTGTGCGGTGGCGGTGGCGTGGGGGTGACGCTCAGGGGGATTAGCGTCACTCGTCGTGACTGCACCAGGCAACGCCGCCACCTGCAAAGACGCGCAGGATCAACTTTCACTGCCGATAACTTTCCTAGGTGCGACACACACTCACTGCAGCCTGTGTCAACATGGGACAGGGTAGACACGACACACGCTTTTACAAAAATATTACACTAAGTACATTATTACCGGCACGGTTTACACACAATACGTGCGTTTATGTAGGCACATTAAACCAATGAATACAAGAATGCCTTTAACGAATGTAGGAATCAATGTATTGATTAGAAGAGTTGTTTATGCCCACAATACATGCATTGAATGGCTTATCATACATTTCAACAAACTATATTGACATATGAAAATTATATTATTGTTACATTGAGGCTCATGAAGCAGACAAAACTAAACAAATGCAACGCGAAAAAATGAGAAGCATTACAATTGAGGCGGTAAAAATAAGGGCAAAAAAAGCATACATTTTTATAATAAACATTCCTGAATGGAAATAGCGTTGACCGCGTGCTGTGGTGCCTGTGTGTCGACAGTGCACGCGGAGACCGTGGGTGGAACGACCCATCAATAAATATCGACTCTTAAGCTCATGATACATGCATCGAATTGCGCGTGTAAGAATCAATGGGTTGAGATTCATGTGTTGTGTTCAATGGGTTGACATCTCCTCCGAAGCTGCAATTGGCGTCAACATTCACCGCAATGTATTAAAAAACAATCGGTCCCAAAACAAATCACAGCCGTGAAAGCACAACTTCCTGAAGAAGCTCCCAGCACGAGGAGAAAAACGTTGGACATTGTGCCGAACGATGCACGGCTCAACCCACCGGACAGCTACACAGCGCAACCACACAAACCTACGCAGTCGCAGTATTACATTGTCACATCGCCAAGGTGGTGGGGTGGAGGGAAGTGAATCGCTCTAGCCCTGGACGAGACACTGTGTCGGTGTATGTGGAGACCGCGTGTCGGAGTGTGTGTGTTGGTGTGTGCAGACTCCGTGACGGTGTGTGTGTGTGACGGTGTGTGTGTGCGTGACGGTGTGTGTGTGACGGTGTTTGTGTGACGGTGTGTGTGTGTGACAGTGTATGTGACGGTGTGTGTGTGACGGTGTATGTGACGGTGTGTGTGACGGTATATGTGTGACGGTGTGTGTGTGTGACGGTGTGTGTGTGACGGTGTGTGTGTGATGGTGTGTGTGTGACGGTGTGTGTGTAACAGTGTGTGGGGACGATGTGATGGTGTGTGTGTGACGGTGTGTGTGTGACGGTGTGTGACGGTATGCGGGAACGACGTGACGGTGTGTGTGATGGTGTGTGTGTGTGATGGTGTGTGTGTGTGACGGTGTGTGTGTGACGTGTGTTGGTGTGTGGAGACTCCGTATCAGTGTGTGTGTGACGGTGTGTGACGGTATGTGGGAACGACGTGACGGTGTGTGACGGTGTGTTTGCATGCCGCACCGGCTGGTCTCGGGAGAAAAGGCATCAGGAGTGGGGAGGACGTTTCTCTCATTAGCCCCCCTTTCCCCCCTGGGAATCACCAACCAGACTGTCGCTAGGCAACAGCCAAGACCCCTGCTGTCCAGACACTGTGCCAGAGAAAAACAGACACCGCCGTTTCTTTGGGGGGCACTGCGTGCAAAACCACAATTATTATGTCTGTCCTTGCACTTTTACCTTTTTTGTGACCCCATGGCACAGGTCTCCCGAAGCCCTCAAAGAGCCTAAACGACAAAAAAAACCTAAAATGTTTGCTATCAACCAAAGACGCAACAGCCCCACAAGCAAAAGCCACGGTGGAGTGGGTTTACGACTTTCGGGCACGCACAGTTTGTGTACAACCCAGATAAGCGCACGCCAATAAATTCACCCTGGAGCGGCTGGCGCTGCCTGAAAAAACACACATTAGGCCAAGAAATGTTGTGCTATACTGCCATAAGGCACAACGCATTTTTGTGCGTGCGTGTGTGTTGTTTTATCTGGCAAATTTAGCCCCAATTATTTATTTATCTCGCCTCCAAACATCTCGGTCAATCGGAATATCGTGGGCGAGCCAACGAGAGGGCACCTGGTTCTTTTCACGCGACTCCACCACGCTCTCAACCCGGCGCCCCAGTGCGCAAGTGGCTGAAAGAAGCCAGCGACAGACCGCCCGCCGGTTGCCGTCCTTTTCCTTTCTGGCTTTTTTTTTCTTCCACGGAGCGCCTTGGGAGGTTGGCTGGCCTGGGGGGCCTGAGCAGTCACTGTTTCCCGTTCTGCTTTGCTGCGAAATTCCTTGGCCGTTTCTCTCGCTCCTTACCAAGTGGTCCCTGCCGCTGCAATCCTGCACGACCTGGCTACAGTTACACGTTCGCTTTGCCTATTGAATATCACACGGTTGTCCTCTGGGTACCAGTACTAATGTGGGAAAGTGAGTGTCCACCAGGGCTGTAACAACTCACCACCATTGGCAATCGGTCAATTGTCACGATACGAGTCAAGAATTAAGTCTTCTTTATAGCATTGCGATGAATGTAGTGGCCTCTAGTGGCTGGAGAAGTTCCATTAACTCGAAACGTACAACACATTTTTTTAAATTCTGATTCTTGCGCGTACAATTCAAAGCATGTATC